CCATTGCAGACTTGACTCATATTCTTCAATATGATATAAGACGTCAAATGCCAAAAGCGCAGCGTTTCTACAAGCAGCGGCATAATCGAGTCACCCAGCCTATCAGTGGGCAGTGTTCCCCGGAGTGCCGACTATCGAACGCTCTCTCCCTTCGGGCACCGAGGTGGGGCGAGTGACAGATCGAGTAGGGTTTCCGCTCGGCACTCTGCGCCTGCCGCTGACTTATCCCCTGGACTGGGGGACAGCCAGCAGATAAGACCGCCTGTCCACGTCTGCTCCAGGCCCGCGGCCGACCGATACATCGGCCGCAAGGGAGAGGGGAGAGTGTCTCCAGTGAAGAGCGATGGTCGGCAGAGAATACTCCGGAAAGGCTCGTGTAGGTGACCATTTATGCCATGAAATGCAGGTCACCCGCCTCTTCCGTCAGGTTACGAGTCTCCTTAGCGCAGTCACGGCAGCCAGGTCGCCCACCTCGTCTATTACATTTCAGGTACGAAACGGAGTCGAACGGTCATCACCGCAACACAAGCAGCTGGAATGCGAGCAGCAGCACCGGCAGCGATGCCAGTGACTGCAGCCGTTACAGCGGCCGTGACGGTGACGATGACGGTCACCAGCAACGGTGGTAGATCGGCCAACGGTACACCTCCCGACTCGCCACGGACAGGCGGCGGACAGAGGAGAGCAAGTGTCGGACAAAGTGCGTCCCCCAGGTGGTCTACACCCTCACAAATGGCCGACAGTGCGTGCCACAGGTGCCTGAAACTGGGCCCACCGCTGGACGGTGTGCGTGCCAGACCGGTGATCGAAATGGAGCGCGGACTGGAAAACGGAATCCCGACGATACACAGGCTCAAAATAGCTCCACGAAACGACCGGCACGGAACGTGCTGGTGATAATCTGAACCTAGAATTCGGCGGAACCTGCTAGCGATTGTTTGGACAACGAACAACAAAGCCTGCTCTGGTGATAATCTGGATAACGGTCGGCGAACTCTATACTGGTGATCATCTGGATAATGAACAGTGTGCTCTTCTGCGTGATAATCTGAACGGTCCATCGTCAGCCGCCGCGCGCTGAGCTCGCGGGCTCCACACGGCGAGTATAATCCCCGGAATTGAATCACCGGTTCGGCGCTACCGATTCCCCATTCCCAGCTGAATGGAAGTGCCGTCAACCGTGAACGTAGCGCCGGACGCGATCGACTAATGAGGCCCGAAAGGCTGCCAGATGCGGTCCGTCCTCATCTCGTTCCACTTCCGCTCTCCCAGAGGCAGACTGCTGGACCAACTGGGCGGAATTCTACGGCAGCTAGAGTGCCGCCGTCCGGACGAATTGTCGCCGTGTTACTGCAGTGTAGAGCCGTTCTAAACGCCCGGAGGTGGGCGCCATGGGAGCCGTTCGCCGTCCGTCGCCGGCGTGCAGACGGGAGCAGTAAAACCGGCATAGCAAAGGCCTGCAGGCTACAGCAGAGAGGCGTAGGTCACAGCGACAGGATCACTGGCATCAGAACAATAAGGATATCGTCCGAGCCTCTGAAGATCTTTGTGATATGCAAGTGACCTTCCAGTGATTTCCCGCGACCGACTTCTCGCACTATCCTTACCGGTAACTTTCTGAATCGGCACTTTTTATAACCGTTCCCGACAGCCTGTAGCTTCCAAAACAGCTCTACGGCATTAGTCCGGTGCTTCCGAAGCCGGCGAATACTGGGGAACAGCAGCGCCGGACTCATTCCATAATGGAGCGCCACACCACCCAACGACATTGTTTTCCCCATACGCCGGCCGGCCCTCACTGAGCCGAGCCGGGGCCGGGCTGGGCAGTGAGGCCGGGCTAATGGGACGCCATGTCACGAGAGGGTCAGCAGAATGGCAGCCATGCGCCGCCTGGTCAGGGTCGACCGTCACTGACGCCGTCGAGCGTCGGGGGTATGGAGCCGACCCTGGGGATATGGAGCACATGTTGTTCAGTGAATCTGAGCGGCAACTGGGCAAAACGAGCGACCCTCGAAGGCAACTCAAGCTGAACCTACTGCTGAGCGCTTACGGTTCTTCGTAGGATCTACTAGGTTGGATGTTCTGATCAAATGAATTAACAGGAAATCGTTGTCATAACTCCTGATAAAATGTTTGGCTTTCAGCGAGTCCAAGATAAATGAGAACACAATTTTGATTAATGTGGATCCATGCGGTCCAAAAAGGCATAACGAATGACAGTGTAGCTTCTATGAACGTCCAACTGCCATTATAATTCTTATCTGTTAACGGTATGGATGACATTTCAGACGATTCAAATCACTTCAGCTGGACGATTATTCCCGTTTCAGCTAATTTCCATTATTCATACCGATATCAAAACTTTATTCAGCATCGTCTTGGCAGATCAATAAATTAAAATAGAGACAATGGGGCACTCGACATCACACCAGCTCCTACATCTAAATAAGTATACCTGGAAGGCTTTCGTGGTATCCTACCTACCACTCAACCCCACCCCATGGGGTCAGTGTCGTCCGACTGATAGCGATGTGTTCCTATTTCCTATGACATGCATTGGCGATTACCTATCTGCTGGCCCTAACCCTCCCATAGCATCGACTAGACTACCACGTCCGGTACCGAGGTGCTGTGCCGAAAAAGGGACGTGCTCCCAACCAGTCACCAAAGCACGTCCGGGGTGCGCCTAGAGCACGCCCAGAGTACGCCTGGAGCCCACCCAGAGCACGCCCGGAGCACATCCGGAGCACGTTTGTCTGCCTGGAATGTGTCGGCCGTTATCGGCGCCGCGTTATAAATGCCCGGCACGGGAGGAATGCTGGTCCGCTTTTTAAACGATCCTCTCACGCAGAGCTGACCGTGCCGCGTGTGGCGACACTTACCGAGAAATAGCTCCAGAGAACGCCCCAGAATTTCGGCTATGGACAGGAAACATCACAGTGTTTGACTTAGGGACATCACCGGTTGCATATTCGAGCTACATGACCTCAAAACTCAACAGCTGGGTGGCGCATCTATACTTGATTCCAAGAAACCATATCTAGGCGGAACACGCTCAATTCTACGCACATCGTCGTATTGCGCTGGCCTGACCACTGCCCGTGAATACATTGTTTTTACCGTTACCAAGGTAACGAAGGTGAAAGGTCGCGACCCTGACGACCGAGTAGTTGCATGTGTCGTAAGGGCACCACTTACGCAACGATCAACGCCGTCGGAATGACGACCAAAACAATGTGCTGTGGTCGGTCCATGCACCGTGGCCGGCGCCGTCTTCATACGTGCCGTAATGGAGGGAACTACGCGCATCTATTCGCGGCTGTTCTGCAGATTCGCACCAAGCAGCGTGTGGCTCAATGGGACCTGAATGGGGAGGAAATGGGTGAATGGTGTCAGAAGACAGAGGGCGGGCGAGGAAGAGGTGGGGAAGTCTGGAACGTAAGAAGACAGAGGTTTGGAAAACGGAGAGTTGAATGCGGCATCTTACACGGCATGATACCGCGGTGAGAATAATAAATATTGCCGCGACCTTACTGAATATGTTCCACACTGGAGGCAGCTTGCTGCGTCCGACAGAAGCCAGCCTGTCCGACACAGAACGGACAGGCGGCGGCGGGGGCGGGGGCGGGGGCGGGGGCGGGGGCGGCGCCAGCCCATTAGCGTCCCAGAAAGGCGGCCCGATCTGATGGCGGTGGCCGCGGTGGCTCTCCCCGCGGTGTCCGGCCGCCGGAATACGGCACACGGCGCCGGACCATCGCCACATCGCCGGCCCGTGATGAACCGCCGCTCATCTGCGTACCGCGCCACCTCCGCCGCAGGAGCGCCGCCTTTGTCACAGCGGCCATCAGCTGACCCGAATCCGGCTCCGGACACCCCGCCGACACCGACCCGGACCCGGACTGAGCTCAATCCGAACTCAATCTGGACTCAATCCCGACTGAGGCTGGTCACTCTCCCCACAGATTGGTCCGTATAGATCAGGGTACCGAGACACTTACGCATCCGGGGTGTCCATCAGAATGGTGATCAGCCGCGCCGTGCCGGCTATATGGCCGATATTGTGACCGAGATGGAATACGGTGCCGAGTGTTCCCTACGAGCCGCGCATAATAACGCAGCCCAGGCGCCAGGAGACTGCCGGTAGCGACAGAGCTGCTAGAATTCGAGCAGTTTTGTCGTCGAACTGATGGAGCCATCGGGCTCGAAGGTAGTGAGATGATAAGCCAGCCTTACTAGGGAAAATAGCGTGACGTTTTACCGATGGTGGGCTGTGTGCAGCTCCATCGTTCCAACATTAACCGGCGCCATCGGGTTACCGGCACCGTCCATGAATATTCACCGCGTTGACCGGGCGGCGGCGGCCGGCTGACGCCGATCAGGGTCGACACAGCGTCAGAGTCAATTGCGACAGCCGTGGCAGGCGGGAAATATGACCAGTCGGCAGAGTGGGATGGGAGGACTGGGAAGGAGAGAGAGAGAGAGAGAGAGAGAGAGAGAGAGAGAGAGAGAGAGAGAGAGAGAGAGAGAGCGAGAGAGAGAGAGAGAGAAAGAGGAGAGAAAGAGAGAGAGAGAGAGAGAGAGAGAGAGAGAGAGAGAGAGAGAGAGAGAGAGAGAGAGAGAGAGAGAGAGAGAGAGAGAGAGAGGGCGTATGAGGCGTGAAAGGGTGACGGTGACCGGATACTGGGCGGAGGGGATTGAGAGGTAATGGTCCGTGATATAGAGGCGTTAGGTGATGATGGTGTGACGATCTCTGGAGATGGGTGTGAAGAGTAATGACGGGTGCGACCAGAGGTGCGATGAAGGGTGAGTGAGAGGGTGCGGCGGAGGGTGTGAGAAGCTCATGTTGATGGAGAGTAATGACAGCCGTACCGCTGGTAATCATTGCCGTCCCACCTTACCTGAGCCATAGATCTCTGTCTACATACAGAGGTCTATGCCTGAGCATATAGCCAATGGCCACAACTGCACAAGCGCCGACTGGCTGACCGTCTGGGACTGACCTGGTGTAGAGTCCTGAGGTAGAGGCTGCTCCGGCTCGCTGGCGGCTCCCTCTGTGCCGTCGCCGGCCGCCGGGTACTGGCTGCTCGTCTCGCGGTCGGCGGCGGCCACGGACGGGTCGGGGCCGGGGGACAGGCGGGTCGCCGGTGGCACGGACGGTGCCGGCGAGGCGCGGCGTGCTGTCGGCTCCAGCCGAGTCACGGGCCGGCTCAGGTCGGGGGCGGATTTGGGCCTCCCTCTCCGTCGCTGGTCGACCAGGGGCGCCGAGGACATGAGGTCCCACTGGCGCAACTCCTCGCGGTCAATCTCGAACGACGGGGGGAGGCCATCGCCTAAAAAAGGCTGGCTGGCGGCGGGCTGGGCGGCGGGGTGGCCGGCGGGAAGGTTGGCGGAACGGACCGCGTTGTTGGGCCGAAACTGCTCCTCGCGATCGTCCCAGTCGTACTGTTCGAGGTAGGTGCGTCCGTGTTTGGCGCGCTGCAACGTATCAGAGCGCTGTGCCAGACGGTCGTAGCGCACATCGTCACTGGAGAGACAGCCGGCGCGCTGTTGCTCCTGGAATCGCTGGCGCATCGGCTCGTTGACGTAGAGCGCGCCGCGTGCCAGCCGAGATCCCTCCGGAGCCGGCTCGGCCAGGCTCTCCATAGAGTGAGCGTGCCGCAGGCTGGAGTGGTGCGCCGAGCTGTGCCGGGTCCGCTCCGACGGCCAGCCGTCCCCGACGGTAGCGCCGCCGCGGTAAGCGTTAGTCCCGTGAGCGGCCACCGGCGGCGCTACTGGGGAGTCTGCCGGCGGTGGTGCTCGGTACGGTGGAGGCTCACCTGCTGACCGAGCCAGCTCAGAGCGCGGCAGGGGCATCGGCGGCCGGTCCTCGGGCCGGTACGGTGCTGGCTCCACCCTGGGTGTGGTAGATCGCCGTCCGTCCGAGCGGTTCGTCGCTACAGGCTCATTCCGCCGTGATGTCAGCACGTCGGGCGTATGTGAGCGCGGGCGTGAGTCATGAACAAACTCAGCCGCTGAGCCTGACGACAAAAAGTCCGGCGTTCGTGAGCGTCGGAGAGCGGCGCGGTCTGCAGAGCCGGCTCCCTCGCGACCACCGTTTCTCGGCAGAGGGGGCCGACAACGGGGCGTCTCTTCTAACAGACCCTCTAGCGAGCGTGTGCGCCGGTGGTGAGACAACGGTGGGCCACCCGGTTCGTCATCCTTCAATCGCAGCCCATCCGGGAAGATATTCCTCACCGACTGGTCGATCGCATCGGGTGTGTGCGAGCGCCGTCGTGCCTTCTTCAGTGTGTCCGAGTCGTAAACGTTACGCTCGTCTACATCCGACCACTTCTGAGCCTCCAGATACTCCACTGAGTTACGTAGCTGAGCAGCGAGTCTGCCGACCTGGGCCAGACGGTCCTCAGGAGAGCTGATCTGATTCACCTTACGGCCGATGTCAGCTCGTTTACTGGCGTCCAGTTCCCGCTGGTTGTTGAGTTTTGGCCGCGCGCGGACTGGTCGCTCCTGCAGTGCAGCGGCCGCCGCTAGGTCTGAGTAGTAGTACGGTGCGCGGCCGTCCGAGCCCGTAGATGTCGCTGAGTTGACTGAGATGTTCGAGCTGCCTCGTCGATGATCAGCCACCAGCGGACCGGGGGCTGGAGCCGGTGACAGCTGGGTGCGCGGCTGACGCGGTCGGGCGCCCGTCTCCCGCGGGGGTGCCGGAGCCGGCGCCGGCGCCGGCGCTGTGGCAGCGGCCGGGGCGGGCGGGACACCGGGCGGAGGCGGCGCCGGCGGCCTCTCGGGCGGCCGGTCTGCCGCTCCCGTCAGGTCGTTTTGGAAAGTCCGAGCGAAGTCTGACTGGAACTCTGGACTCTTCACTGGTGTAAGTTCGATGGAGGTGAGCGAGCTGAAACTCTCCCGTTTCGTGGCAGGGAAGTGCCCACCCTCACTCGATGCCACCGACATCAGTGTGTGGATGGACACCTCTGATGGTTTCCTGGTCCGTGGCGTCGGCAGATTTTCATACGTCTGGTGAGCGCTGGCGGCGGGTTTAGCCGGCAGCTCAGGCGGCGCCGACTTCTGCAGCGAGAGCGGCGACGACATGGTCATGTAGCCTCCATTATCCTGCGGAGGATACTGCTCCTCGGAAAGCAGCGAGCGCGGCTGCGGTTCCAGAGGCGCACCGCCCGGCGGATAGCGATCCTCAGAGCGCAGAACGTGAGGATCCTCAGCTACAGTCATGAGCGCCATCTCATCCACCACCGGCCGCCGTTTGTACTTGTCATTCCGCACGCTCTCCACAGGTGGCGCTGCGTCCGGTCTAATGGTCACGCTGTCCAGTGAGCCCGAGTCCTGAGAGCGGCGTGAGACGATATCAGCGGCCAGCCGGGCTAAACTGTCCTGACTGGAGGCCTGGCTGGAGAGGGATGCCGGTCGTTCACGGGGTAACTCAGTCACCACCTGCTGACCGCCCACTGAGGTCATCTGGGCCGAGTGAGCTGCCAGCAGAGCGTTCAGCAGGTAAGGCGGCGCATCTGACTCACCAGTCCCGTCGTAACTGAACTGCCCGCTGGTCGGCTCGGTAGGCTGGAGCTCGTCCATCGGCGGTGGGGACATGGGAATCGGAGGTGGAGACACCAGGTCACTGTCTGAGGAGTCGGCCTGTTCGCGGTCGTCATGCATCTGCAGGTAGTAAGAAGCAGGACGGAAGGTGTCTGATAAACTAAACCGGCGGCTGCGCGGCCGCTCTGGCTCCTTCGAACCCTCATCATCCGCATCAGATGCCGAGCTGTCGGCTGAGCTCGACTTCTTCTCCGTCTTTCGCTTCTCGTTCTTCAGCTTCTTGCCGCTCTCGGCCTTACGTTTGTTGTCCACTTTGTTCTCTGCCGTCGGTGTTTTACTAGGATTGGGCGTGGCTGCGGTTGGGGTTGTGGTCGTCGGTGCCGCTGATGATGTTACAGGAGACGCTGGGCCGGCAGAGTCGCCGTTCTCTGAGGGCACCTCCATGTAGACAGGCTCGCCCCTACCGGCCGGCGCCATGTACTCGTAATGCACTTCTGAGTATTTGTTCGATTCCAGAAAGAGACCATGGTTGGAGAGCTTCTTGAACATGCTCTGTGACGCCTCGAAGCTGAGGTTCAGCACGTTGGGGTTCATCTCCATGTAGGTGCCGTCCTGCTGAGAGCCTGCAGCCTGTACCGGCGGCCGCAGAGGAGGCGGCAGAGGCGGCGGTGGCGGCGGAGCGGCAGGTGGAGGCGGCAGACTGGCGGCCGACGTCTGCCGTGAGTGTGACGGTACCGGCGGGGTGGGCTCAGAGAGCGCCTCTGCCGGCTTCCGTGGAGGGCTCATCACCAGGTACTGGTCCTCAGTGGATGTGTTGAGCATCAGACCGCCGCTCGGCAGCTGATTGGCGTAGATCGGTGATGAAGACGGTGACGGCGCTGGTGGCCGTGCTGGTTTGGGAGGTACCGCCGGTGGTGAGCGCGGCTCCTCAGAGCGCCGTGAGGACTGACTCGCTGACGGTGACGGAGCCGACGCGACACTGCCGTCTCCCGGCCCGAATCGGGTCACGGCCATACCGGAGTTATCCGCGGTAGCAGACGAGGCCGGTGCACCGGCCGAGGGTGAGACATCACGGCCGTTTCGGCGCGGCTCAGGCACTAACGAGGAACCATGCGGATCCCAGTGAGCTGCCGACGCTGTCCGCGGTCCGGACGGCGTCCACGGGATGGCGTGAGGAGCCGGAGTGTTCCACTGACCCTCCGCTGGACCTGGGGGACTCCAGTGAATCTCTGAGACTTCATGCGCATCACTGCGGGACTCCGCCGCGGCACTCCTATCCGCCGATCGACGCAGATCACCCAGAACACCTGCCATACTGAGGGAGGACGGCTCTGACCCTCCCCTCTCAGCATCACCGGCGTCAGAGTCGCTGCCTACTCGCCGCAGATCGTGTGAGGTACTCGGTCGGCTTGGAGTCCACTCATGTCCCAGCTGACCGCTTTCAAATTTAGCCAGTAGGTCCTCAACTGATGTGTTGTGAGGTTCGCTCGGTGCGCGGGGCTCGTTATGAGAAGTGTCGTTAGCTGAGGCGACTGGCCGAGGTTCTGGATCAGTGGGCGAGTCCTCATCCAATGCGAATTTCCTGAGATTGCTGCGCGACTTTCGCGAGTCGATGATGTCCTGCGGACTGCGGATGTCCCGCAGGTCGAGACTGTTGGCTGGGCTGCCTTCTGAGTAGGTGAGTGACCGGTCGGCGCTTTCCTCCTGAGACCGAGCCTCCCTGCCGCCGGGACTGCGGCCTGGGCTGCGCGCCGGTTTTGAGGATGAGTTGAGGCTGCGGATGGTGGTCACCTGCGCCTCAGAAGCAGTGACCGTGGTGGCCTCCGTCTCACGGAAATCGATCGGCGGCATCTTCAGCTGAGAGACCTGCGCCTCGGCCACCTCAGCCTGCGTCTTCATAGGCCTCAGCGGTCGCTCTAGCCTCTCATCCTCAACACCAACACTATTGCCAGACTCGTCCAGGCGGCTCTTGAACGCCTTGATCCGCTCCTGGACGAGGTTCTTCGGCGGCGTCTCGCTCGGCTGGCTGGAACCCTCCGCAGCAGCAGCGTTTTCCCTCGGCGCCGTTTGCGAGCGCTTCGGCATCACCTTGGGGGGCACCTTGGCCGCGCTCGGCGGCTGCTCCGGCTTCACATACTCGTAGCTGAACTCCTTTACCAGCCGTGACTCATCGATCTTGTCGCCATCATCGTGCCAGTCAGCGGCCGCCCAGCCGCCGCCGCCCCCGCCGGCGCTCCGCCTGCCGCTTTCCAGCGGTGCCGAGCGGCGTCCGGCGGAGGCGCGCCCGTTCTGAGCCCGAGCCGGCGCCTCGTCACCAGTCATCTCAGCTCGCAGTGTGTCGTACCCGCTGTCCGAGTGTTTACCCAGTGAGGCGTTCTCTGGCCGGCGCAGATCAGTGAGAGCAGCCGCCGCCTCCAGCTCACGTGCGCTGACGAGTGGTGGAGGCAGCTCGTTGGCGCTGGGAGCCATCGCGCGCCGCTGAGCGGACACCTTCTCCTTGGCAGGGTAGAATCGATCGTAGTTGTGCAGCTCGTGGTGGTACTTGTCCTTCTGTGAGCTGTACTGGCTGTGCGCCTGCTGGTAGCCATCCGGCGCCAGCGTGCCGGCTGATTTGTCGAAGTTACGGAAGTCGGCGTTCGTCTTCATACGCGGGTGGTGGTCGTGGCTGCTGGCGGTGGCCCGGTTGTCGGGTTTGTGAGGTGTCGGACCACGCCACACCTCTGCGGTGGGAGACGTCACACTGGCCGGCCACGTGTCCGGACCCGGTGACGACACACCGGCGCTGTGCCAGGATTCGTTGGACGGTGACGTCACACCTGAGGCCGGCCACTGCTCGTGCGCGGGAGACGTCATCGCGGCATTCCATGTCTCGCGGTGAGGTGTCACGGCCGGCGCGTGCCGTGCAGCAGGGGATGGCACCTCGTGGCGGCCAGACCACGGATCGGCGTCGCCCATACGGTATGACAGGTTCACGTAGTCTTGTGATGCCGCCGGCGGGGGCGAAAATTCCGCTTCCCTGGCATCTGTCGAAGAAAAAATGAGCTTCAGATTCTCATCCCTGCCGTCGCGTAGAAAGGGACACGTTACAACCACGGGGTTAGTTGGAGGAAGCTTCAAGCCGATCCATCAGCCGCATTAGTTGATTAGTTCCATGCCGTCTTCAACAGAGTTCCCACCATGCCGCCTGGTTAGTCCGAAACCGCTGCGCCGCCAGACCAGCTTGCTGGGTTAGTTGCAAGAAGCGCGATGCTATCTCGTCCGTTGGGTTAGTTGTAATGACTCCATGCCGTTCCGTTATCTTTCCAGATGTTAGTTGGCGTTAGTAGACTGGCACTAGCTACACTTACAAAACTGATGGAGTGCAGGCGTCCAGGATTGCAGCCAGGAACCCACCACCAGTCTACACTAAAGCGTCGACAGGTACTTCATTATCCGTAAGCTGATGATTAATAGTCGTACTTACCTGGCTTAGGAAAATATTAAACAAATAAGTTATATCGATGTCATTGACATGTAAAAATCGTCCCATGTCATGATGCAATGAAAACGATTAAAATGCAGCGTAGGTAGTTGTTTTGGACATTGTTTGGCACCGCAAGTTCCGTCTTAGCGGGAACTGCATGTCATACCTCGTAATCAAAACCACTAATGACGCAAGCTACCGAAACTTTTTCGTTCCGTTTAAATTACTATTCATCCAAACCACTGCGAGCTGATGTATATCATTAGCGTTTTATAGCCGGAAACTCCAGTGCCATGGCACAAAGCAGTCAACGACGGAACAGAGAGAGAAAAACCACCGATCGTTTCGATTTCTGCTTCCCACGTATCAGCCAGTCCGGCCACAGACCGGTCCATGAGAGCCGACAGTCACGTGCTCTTTGTGAGGCGCCTCCCACACCCAGCCCACGCCCGGTTAGTGGAGAGGCCGAGTCCAAACTGCTACCGCGCCCCAGCAAGCCGAGCTAGTTAGTACTTAGTAGTGATGTAGGTAGGCAGGTTCAGCAGTTTTATACAGCGGAAACTACCAAGGATCCAGCGACCGAGCGAGCGTCACGGCTGATCAGCCCACAGGAGGTTACTGGTTAGTACCCGCAACCGAGCATATGCTACACGGGTTACAGAAGGGAACACAATGGGGAAAACATTGGGAACACACAGTACACTCCACTCGACAACAGAGGTAGCCCACGGAACAGCTTCCCTCCTACCCTCCCCTGTTCGAGTCACACGATCACTGAGAGCCCAGTCACGCCAGGCGTGTCACGCGGCGTCAGGAGTATCGTGTCACCGCACTGCCGGTGTCATGACCGGCGTGTCAATGCCCTGTCCGGTGTCACGACACCGGTGTAAGTGCCGCCCGTGTGGTATTGGTGCTAAGGTGTGCCCGTAGTGAACGCGATCTAAAGTTGACAGTGTAGCGAGTAACGATTGGGACGGTCAAAAGGTAACCGGTTTGTATTCAGCAACACCTACAAACACGGAGAGATGCTATCTGCTCGGAAACGGCCGGCGACTGGCGACACTCCTCCAGCATTGAGCAAAGTTCCGACCCCCAAACATCCCAACCAGTGCCGTCAGACTCCCTGCTGACCGGCGCGGTGCGGCGCAGGTTGGGACGGGGAGAGAAGGTCGGGACGGGATAATGAGAGGTCAGATACCCGCTACGGTCTGCTGGCCGGTACCAGCGTGGGATGGGGAACGGTGGAACGGACCTCCCACGGTGCCGAACGGGTGGAACACAGACAGGCCGGGCTAGAGCATCGATCAAAGATACAGGCTGTCAGCTAAGGAGCGAGGACTTGAATTAAATACGGAACTAAACTATGAGGCTCCGCTAAATGTAATCGCAGCTGTACGGGCCGAAACTCTTGATTCCAGAAATGGATGAGCGACGCATATAAGGATTTCTGTCTTTCTTCAGTCTTGTGTGATATTCACCGCATAATCTAAACATGTTGGATAACCGAATGAACAAGTGGTTTGTGATAAATGACCCTTGATTGTTGACAGATAGGTTATCAAAGAGATCCAAATTTGATCGGGGCATTGATGAATTCGTCCCTCCACCAGATGTATGATTTGATACGACGGTGGTGAGATCGTTCCAACATTGATGAATCGACTGCGTGTTGTATGCTCCTCACCGGTTGGCTTCCCCATTCCCCATGTCTGTAGTCCATCTTCTTTTGGTCGATTTTTTTCGCTTAAATAATTTCGATGTTCTTAGATTTTGTGAATGCACTGTCTGTGGCGTTGGAGCCTATGTAGGACCGACAAATCATGGGTGATCAGCAGACAACGTACCTCTGCTGTCCGCCTCAGGAAGCCCATGCACCGTCTGAGGCCGCGGCGTCCTACTACCCTCACTCCTCTCTAGCTCCTGGCGGACCCTCCTGAAACAGAGGGACCCAGTCAGAGCGAGATAGGAGCTATAACGGGGGACACGGTCAGAACGTGACAGAAGCTCTCCTGAAACGGAGGGCACAGTCAGATCGTGACAGGAGCTCTCCTGAAACATGGGGGGGCACGGCCAGATCGTGACAGAAGCTCTCCTGAAACATGGGACCCGATCAGAGCGTAAGAGGAGCTCTCCTGAAATGGGGATTCAGTTAGAACGTGACAGGAGCTCTCCTAAAACGGAAGGCTCAGTCAGAGCATGGTAAAGCATATCCAGCTAGTCAACATTTCACAGTCAAAAATGTCCCTAAAAGAAGCAGTCTCTCACGGCACGGTTTGGGCACGGTTCGAACTAGACGTGTCTACTGTCTAGCACTACAGGTTAACAAAACAAAAATTTAGCTCTGAAAACAACGTAATGCACTTAAAACATACCATAGTGTTGCAAACAACTCATTTCGCTATAAACACCACGATTGTGGTGTCCAGATTTCCTGTTTACTCTTCCCCATCTCCGATAAAGATCTCACACAACAAGTTCGGACGGACACCTGTGAGCTGATCACCACGAACCGTGCCCAAAAGGCACTCGTTGGCGTCAAACAGTGTTCTAAAATTGGATTTTGGTTGGGTGGGACGATGATGACCAAAAAATCTAGGATGAGAAAAAAAAAGTGAAAACCTATATCACTTTCGCAATAAAGGCGTAACACTACGCTGGCTGATAATAAAAGAACATACCATTCCTGACCACCAAAACTAACCGAAAAAGACGATGCAAATAGGTAAGGATGATCTACGGCAGAATTATAACTTTAACATCTGACCGCCAAGTGTTTCTAAATCCGTCCCATTTTATCCCAACATTTGTGTTTGATTGAGACTAATGAATTTAAGAATCACCCTTGTCTCTTATACAGCAAAGAATGAATACCTACTTCAACCAGTGATATTTCATTTTCCTCACAAGTCAAAATGCATTGTCACAATTGAATGACAGTCCAGTGGCCATCCTTCTCCTAGCCTTAAATCAATGCCTTCCTTTCCGTTTCAGATGCAGACAGCAGATATTACCGTCAGCATCTGCTACGTTCCTACTCATGCTTACTGGCACGGATCCAGGACGGGCCTTCTGCCTGTATATTTCTCCTAAAGAAGATCATCCGCGGACCTCCATCCTCGCGACGCCAGTCGCCATCATGCGAGCGAACTAGGTCCTTAATTAAGAAGCAAAAGATGCAATGATTCTGTTGAAATCTGTAACTCATGTGTTCTGGCCTCTGGGACGTTTTGCGCCTACAATATGGCAGCACTGCTTCTAAGATTACTGTATATTTGAGATAATATGCGGCAATATAAGTATGTAGTTTTCGTTCGCATCTGACCTGGTAATATTCGTACAGTGTACACAGTATAGCTTTGAGCTTTCCATTTTCAACAGATATGACAATGGCCGGGATGATACTGGAAATGGTGCCTTTGCTCTGAGCACACGGAACGGGACGCAGCATTGAGTATGCAATTGCAGTCGCACTATGCAGCATGACATACGCCGGAAATCTCCCGGCCCGAACGCCGGAACGGCCAGCGATAGTCGGTACTCATTACGCTTAGTGAAAGTGGAAACGGAATCAGCGCAACTCTTCGAAAGGAACGGTGCACTACATGAGACTAGAAAAAGGGTCACTGATTAGGGCACCCTAAACGGAACGATGTGCACTGCGCAGCATAATACGCAACATCGCAATAAAAAGCGTGCAACTAACCAGGGCATCCGTATCGGAACGGAACGGGATGCAAAAAAAAAATGATAAAAGGATGCCACCGACCTCATGGCCGGCCACCGAAACTGAGCGGTAGCTACCTATCATGTCACGTGGTAAGTGCTGAGTGAGAGAGCGTCACTGATCAGTGATCAGTGATCAGAGCACCCGCAACAGAACGGAGGGCATCAGTGATCACTGATCAGAGCAACTGCAACGGAACGGAGGGCATCGCTGATCAGGACATCAGGACATAATGCGAGCCGACATACGCCGAATCGATTCCGGCCAAACATGGCCTCAAGAAATAGGTCACAGGTCAAAGGTCATTTGGGTCAGGAATATGAGATTTTCAGAGTAGGTGTCCAATTAATTGACTCGAGGGTCCTGAAAGTGTCGTCCCGATCGGCCGCTTTTTACGCGAGTTATTCTCGAAAAAACGAGGGGGTGGTTCGTTCGACCCCCCCCCCCCATACGGGCGAGGGATAATTTATTAAAAAGCTAGGGCCTTCTTAATCCCATCTACCAGCTTCAGAACATGTATTGGGCAGATCTGGGGATACCGTATCTTAAATTTATCCCTAGAGGTGTGCCAAGGTATCCTTTCACTCGTCTTGGCTTTCCCTCGGCCGAACGCTTCGTGTTTAAAAACCTCTAGAAACTAATTGAAATGAATAATTGGCGGTAAGATTATTGCAAAAGCATGAGAAATTAACGTAAAATACATCATTACCGGTCTTATAACCTCATTTCGCGTATGAAACCCACCAGAGTCCACAGAGTTTCATATTCATCCCTAGGGTGTGCCAGGGTGGCATGTCAGTCATCTTGAACCCCTGCCCGACCCGACGCCTCGAGTTTCAAAGACATCTAAAAACTAATAACGTTAATAATTTGTGGTGAAATTGATATAATATGATCAGAAAAGAACGCAGAATAAATAAGAATTGGGCTCAAAACATTATTTTGCCTATGAAACCAGCCAGAGCCCACGGAGTTTTAGATTCATCCCTAGGGTGTGCCCAGGGTGGCTTTTCTCATCTTGGACCTCTACCAGGCGCGACGCCTCGAGCTTTAAAGTCCTCTAGAAGCCATTGACGGACATAATTTGTGGCGAAATTGATGCGATAGGATCAGAAATAAACGCAGAATAAATTGGGATCGGTCTCAAAACATTATTTTACCTATGAAACCAGCCAGAGCCCGCGGAGTTTTAAATTCATCCCTAGGGTGTGCGCAGGGTGGCCTTTCTCATCTTGGACCTCTGCCAGACCCGACGCCTCGAGCTTTAAAGTCCTCTAGAAGCCATTGACGGACATAATTTGTGGTGAAATTGATACAATAGGATCAGAAATGAATGTAGAATAAGTTGGTACCTGTCTCATACCCCTATTTTGTATATGAAACAAGTTATAGCCCACCAAGTTTTAAATTCATCCCTAGGGTGTGCGCAGGGTGTGCCCAGCTGACTGCGGGTCCAAAGATGAAAATTTTGTAGGCGTATCCTGCGTAACTTAGTCAAAAGCGAATTGCAGAGGTAGTGTTTAATTTGCGCAAGCAGCGGCTCATCCGTTTTGCGTTGGCAGCAAACCACCAATAATAGTTGTTATGAATATCCAAAAGCATTTATTCAGAACACAAGCCTGGTTTTTACAAACAGTTGAGGTGATCAAGGTCATTCAACGCATATTTGTTATTAACAGATGGAAGTGTGCAAGGTTATTTTCTTTCGTTGTCAGACAGGGTGAGTTGTTGGGTTTGTGCCTTGATTTAGCATCTTTTTTCATGGAAATTATGCATTATGTAGCAAACCTGTAAGTCTAACTGTGGCGCTGCTAGGTGTATCTGGTAATCTGGCTGTTCATTGTTGAGCATGCGTTGAGCGTTTTTCAAAGATGAAAGAATTCCAATTTACCTGGTTTTGGGGATGAAAATATTTTGCCCATTAGATGTGATTTTCCACCCAAAATTCCCAAAAATGGAACACTGGCGTGAAAGCGCCAAGGTCGTCAGGTCACCCGGCTTCAGAGACGCGCCGCAGGTGGTCGCTATGTCCTCCCGGCATTATGAACGGCCCGGGTCGGCCTTGTCGGTCACAACTGACGTCTGAATCAATCACTGAGGGCCTTGGCGGATGACTCACGACCTGAGTTGCTCTTAGCGACAGGCCTTGGCGAGTCGCTTAGAGTCGCTCGCTGAGGTCGGTTATGTGGTTTCGGAACGGGCGCACAATGACGGGGTGAAGTCCTCCGCAACGCCGCCACAATTACACACTTTCGGACGGAAGTGGCAGCCGAGAGGAAAATTCCTCGCAATCATACGAGTAAATAAACACTGCGGCTTGTTACCACAGCGAGCGGTTTACCCAACTGAGGTTCTCAACCGACCGTGTGCGAGTGTTCTTCACGCTATAGTAGCGCACAGTGACAATGCGCAACTCACAACCACGGATCATATTATGACTAGTCAGCATTCACTGATCAGAAATGGGACGATAGTCGTCTATCGTAATATTCAGGGAACATATCTCGCATGTCTCGGAACTGGCTTTACCTATTATTTTGACCCGTTGGATAATATCTCACCTTTTGTACTGATCAGGGGGGAAGCGGGCAGCGGCGTCCGTCAGTTTGGGTGACTTTCTGGTCAGCGGCGATTGCAGCATCCTCTGTTTCCACTCGAGCAGCCGCTTCATCGACTCCTCGCGCTGCGGCAGATAGTTCAGACAGGTCAGAGGCGGTACGGCAGACAATTTGCACAGCTCAAAGGCGACACGGCACACAGCTCGGGTGGGACAGTGCAGCGGTGGCGGACGAGCCAGGGTCGGGACGTTGAACAGAATAGCGGCAGATTTGAGCAGACATAAGGTCGATCGACAGGTCAGAGGCACAGGTTTACTCAAGTCATCCGGCGGTGTAACTGTCGGTTCAAACCGCTCAATAGTCAGTGTGTGAACAGAGCGAGCGTTGACAGACGCATGATCGGTTACCCAGCTCCCAGAATGGATACTCCTGCCGTTCACAGTTCGCTTCATTGTCGATCATTTATCCAGTAGACAAATTAAGGCTAATTTGAATAAACAAATATAATGATTTTAGATGGCCTTCGTGAACCGTCATTCAGATAGAATAAATAATTCATCATCTACGGTGTAATATCATCAATGAAGAGGTGCGTGAACAGATCGATCATTGACACAAAGCCATTCTTCGCCTCCGCCCCGGGTTCACGGCTACGGAAGAGCACGCTCCGGTGGGATTTAATCGAGGACGAACACACAATCGAGCCACAAGAACGGGCTGTTCCAAAAACAAACATCCGCGCAGCCACAGAGGAGCCATGGAGGAAGGCTGTGAAGTCGCGAACAAGGGAGAATTGACTGCATAGGATCGCAGGGGACGCTGGCTGAAACAAACGTTCCACAGATGGTAGATAAATGTTGCCAGAAATGCTGCAGATATCTGGCATACAGAAGGCCTGTGGGCTAGTAGAATGATTGATGAATAAAACATGACGTTCGATACGACACAGCCACCGGCAATGCTGTGGGTACGGTGTCCACCGAGTGCAGTGCGCAGTGGACATGGGGACAAACCCGGCGCCGGAAGTGACATCATTGAGGGGTCACGGCGCTTGAAGTGATGAGGTAGAAAGTATTGCAAACATGCCTACTTTCGCGTGAACAAATTTTGCTAAAAAATGCAATGTTTTTAAACCAAATGGCACGCAAAGCAAGCGACAGAAACTCTAAAATCTATGCCGACTTCTCCCTTGAGTGCAGACCTGGATCACAAAACGTTCGACGTCTCCCGCTCGACTTCGCGATCGCCTGTGCACACCGAATGGTAACTGCCAACTGACCACTGAACACATGGCAGATGTCTGTACACGTCACGGCTGACGTCATGGCGATTCCAACCGGTCGATCAGCAGTTATCAGTGCACGGCACGGCACGGAAGACCCTTCCCCTCCCTTCTGCCGCGATGCTATAGACCGCAGCAGGTCGTGAACTGTTCATGTTCAACCCTGCCAGTCCTAACCGAGTGCAGTGTGCACCGTCCAGAAAATGATGGAATGGGAGGATTCTGGGCGGCAGATGGTGAATGGTGGACAGCGGACAAACATATGATACAGGCAGCGTTGGACAACTGTCGGTGAACGCGGGTGGACAGCAGTTGCAGTAATCTGCAGGCTGTGGAGAGCTAACGACTGAGGTAGACAGATGGTGGGGGAGCTGGTGGACGGAGGTGGACGACCCGGCCGGCCGGTAAGCCACATTCCCGGCGCGCCGGCGCTGACCGATCGCCGCTGCTCTCCGCTGCAGGAGATGCAGAGAATGCAGCACCACTCACCAACACAACGGCCTTGGCTACTGACGGACCGACACAGAGAGTGGATACAACAGACCACAAAGAACGGCAAACAGCCCAGAGCCATACCGCTACCCGGCAAACAGAGCCAGGTATACGGCGGGCACAAAAACAGATTACGGCCAGAAATTGGATGAACGGTACCTGAGCTGATTTAATCTGGCCAACTGAGAACAGAAGACAGTTCAGACTGACGACAGACCCTGTGATTGACTTGACCCATAGACAGACGCAGCCGTCCAAAGGTCAACTGCCTGAGTCACGAAGGCCGCCCCCAATGATGACCGGCAGGCGCCCTCCCGAAAAACGGCGAGGTGTCCAAACTGTCAGCAGTGGACGGCATCTAGTTATCCAGGGCCAGAGGTCACAGAGAAAATCACAGGCAGGTGAAAATTAATTTCTGTCCGCCCTGGATTCGGAAAAACGCAGCCACGCACTAGAATAGATGAAAATGTCCTGTGGACATGCCTCATTCAGTTCAGTGAGCAAAAGGCGGCCTACTATGAAACAGAGAGGTCAAGCCACCAAATCACGTCTGAATAACACCATCATAAGACTGCAATGTTTTGCGCCTTGATCCTTACAGGTTCATCGGCTCCGCTTCCCAGCCTGCCCCTAGCTACCATTCCATTCCGCCAGTCCCTCTCGCCACCGGGGTTTTTACTCAGCACCCGGTCCAAGCTCCGGTGTTGGAGCGGTCTGAAAAACTAGCCCGCACCGCCCGGTCACGTCGCCACTGGTTGACACCGGCAGGGTGAACGGTGGGGTGCGCGGACACGTCAGGGGTGGGGAGTGAGAGAGAGAGAGGCAGGTTCGGTGACCGAGGCACTGAGGTCGGCACCCCGTCCCTGCCACCGCCCGACTTAGACAGTCATTCCAAGGTCATGAGAACAGCTGAGCAGGTGGGTAAGAAGTAAGAACTGACAGGACCCCGGGGCGAAGCGGAGACGGCGGCGACCTGCACGGCCTGACAAGCCAAGACCCCGAGAGGTCAGCCGGTCAGTCATAAGGAAGATTTTACGGCACTTCCGGCTGCCGACACTTGGCGACATGACAGGCCTGTCAGCTTGCAAATGATTTCCGACCCATCAACAAAACCGAATGACGAAATCGTGCGACACGCGGTTTTGCAAGGAGCGCATGCACCGCCTGGTACCCACGTCATCAATATTGACGAAACGACCACGGCTCCTTTACGAGTGAAGTGATCCCGTCTATAGCGCGCCTAATCCGGTCCTAGACGGAGGATAAAAAAGTGCTGTCGCCACTGCAGTCTTCAGACTCTCAGCCAGGTATATACCAGATGGCATCCATGATCCATATCTCAGAAGCGCCATAGCTCAGATAGGCCAAGAGTGACAAGTTTCATCTTCAGACATAGCTGGTGATCGACCTTTATCGACATGAGCTCATCCAGTCCATCGGGGAGCCATTACGTCATCGAGTCCAGTACGAGATTACAGCGTAATCGCGCCCATGGCACCTCTGACGTCACAAAGCCCAGCAAGGACAGCGCGACCTCACAAAGCCCACAGCGAGGACGGCGGCGATTGGACGACCAGCTCTGAGAAAACGCCGCGACGGGCACCTGCCAGTGACGTCATCAATGACTGGTCAATTTCGCTGAAAGATGGTTATCAAACACCCAATCATTGACTGGTTGGATGGTCGAATCCTCTGCTAATTCATGGGTAGAATCCCGTTTTGCTCGGCCGGTTGGCTGAGGCTCCACACATGGCTATATCCGTGGACGGGCCGAGACGGCAGCAGCCTCTGAAATGCTGGTCGATCAGTGAGAGGTAGCCGACCGGTGTGGGAGGAATGTAGTCGGGCCGCCGGACCGGCGAGGGGAGAATACTGATGAGGCAGCGAGACGGAGTCGGGGACCACGAGATGAGCATGGAGACCAAGTCGGGGGTGGAGACAGACAAGGAGAGGGGCGGGGACGGGGACGGGCACGAAGACAGACATACGCACATACTACACAGGTGGAAACGAAACTAAGAGGAGTCTGAGGAATACAGAAATAGACATGGACACCTACGAATATCGACGGCACGGATAATGGGATGCGGACAGAGTACAGACGTTGGGTCGTGGGTAGAGTGCGATAGACGGTACACCCAGCTGTAGCTGCCAAGCCGACGTTGCTGACATATCATGTCAGCAACGTAGGTTGCACTTCATCACTCGAACAGTCGAAGCGTCGCCTGATAAAATTAAAAAAACCTACACGACATATGACTAACATACCATTCAAAGGTCAGAATTTTCCTACAAAACTACATTGCAATCTACAATACTATAACGTGTCAGCATGTTTCAACACGAGGGCCTGTCAAGTTAGACAGATAGTCGTGCTGATTCAAACCAGCTGATACCAACACCACGCTCTCTCCCTCAAAATACTGACCAGGCTCCCAGACTGAAGGTTCATTGCCCGCTGTCCCCTCGGACCCACCTGCTGTATTTTCCTGCGGGTGCCCTCGCGGCTGTCGTTCGGGTCGTCTGGTAGAGAAGTGTTCATCATGTCTAGCTCTCTGGCCTTCTGACGGGCGAACCGGGCGCTGGCCGAGCGCATGAACCCGCTGCCGCGCGGCACTCGCTCCAGGTCGCGGCCCAGAGAGTGGGTGCCCGCCGGCGGCGGGGTCTCGGGGGCCACGGCAGCTCCGTGACCGGGCAGAGTAGCGGCTCCCGGTGGCGGACCCCCGCCCGGACCGGCCGGCGAGCCCGGCAGCGGGCCGGGGCTGAGCCGCGGCCCCGGCCCCGCCCCGCCCGGCAGCATCACACCGCCGCTGTAGGCCGCCTGACGCATCTTGTTGGCGTAGCCCTCCTCTGACCAGTAGTCGTTGGCCGGCGGCTGGTAGCGCGCTAGGCTGGACTTTGGTCGTGCGGCCGGCGCCGGCAGCCGCCCTGCACTCGCTGGTCGGCCCGCGTTACGCTCCCACTCGAGGAAGTCGGCTGAGTGGGGTCGGGGCGGCGCCGCCGTGCCGCGGCCGTACTCATCCACTGGAGGGTAGCCGTGCTCTGGGTACGCCCCCGGGTGGCCGTACCCGCCCCGCGGCGCGGCCGGAGGCGGCGTGCACAGTTCACCAGACATCTGTGTGCTCCGGCCGGCACTGGAGGCGTACGACTCGCGCGCGTGCGCCCGCAGCTCACCGGCTCGGCTCCGATCGCGCGAAGAGCCGCTGCCCACACTGGCGTTATACACATCCTCATAGTCCACGCGCGCGTGCGGCGAGGCGGCCGCGTAAGCGTCGGGCGTGCGCCGCTCGACGGGCGGCCGCCGGCCGGGCACCGGTGCGCCGGCGGTCATCTCTGCTAGCCGGTCACACGGCTCCGGAGAGGAGCTGGCCTCTCGACTGCCGGTCAGCCGGCGCGGCTTGGGCGGCGCGTTGGCGTACAGCGGCTGACGCGAGTCGCGCCGACCTCCCACAGACTCCCGGCTGGTGTTGAGGTCGTGCCGCCGAGGGAAGCCGGCCTCACTGCCCTCCAAAGAGCCGACACTTGGCCGATCCGAGCGCTGACGGGTGGGATACCTGCCGGAGAAAGGGATACGTCAGAGGCTGGGTGCGATACGGTGCTCACGCGGCAACTTTTAGGGAAACATTCAAAATACTGCTAAAAAGAACGGGTCATGCTAGGAAAGAAGCGGACGAAACAGGTCCAACATGTCCGTAATCCGTAACAGCGAATGCGAACATGCATAAAACTGTTCGTGAAGCAACGCAAGTAATCGACATTTAACCTGGATCTGTCACACATGACCACGCTATATCAGAGACAACACTCCCAGCTCTGCGTGAATGGACCGCTACTATTGTGATGCCAGTCACAGTGATCCACAGGGGAGACCGTGCGACGGAAGAGAGCAAGCACACCATCGGGTAATGTGCGAGCACACATCCAACATCATGCTTGCATACTCATTTGCGCAGATGGCATTCTCGGATGGAGATAAAAAGGTACAAAAACACCCGTTTGTGTGCATATGGGATCCGCTATTCCAGCACGGAAGAGCACCAAACGTCATGGATACGGTCCACGATTCACGGTGCAAATGTGGGCTATTCTCGACTGCCATCTTAGTTTGTTTGTTTGTTTGTTTGTTTGTTTGTTTATTTGTTTGTTTGTTTGTTTTGTTGGGTTAGGCCCTTTCGGTCTGGACAAGACCATTTCAGAGCCGGAAGGATGATAGGAATTAAGGGGAGACATTGGTCTGGGCAGGCACCCTAGAGAGTCGCCGGGGCTGAGCCCGTCCAAATGGACAGGCCGACCAACCCCCAAGCACTCTCTGCATCCGGCTACGGGGTGCGCTCCCTCGGGAGCAGCGGTGCCGCTCCAAGGGAGCAGCCCGCATGAGGTAAAGTTGCCTGTCCAGCCCGGAGGGGGTTGCGGCGTTGGGGAGAAGGATTTCAGTATCCTGAGGATAGAAACACGGAACGGTGACTGCCATCTGATGTTCCTCAGAGTATATAATTTGTCATTCATCGTCCCCCACTTACGTTTGCGGTTTCAATGTCCACTGTCCGTTACCACAATCCACCACACACCGCCAACCGTCTACCATTTACCGTCCGACGTCTATCCGCCCGCAATCCACCATCCCGGCTCACATCCACCCGGTAGACCGGCGCACCTCTCTGCTGATTGCTCTCGGCGGGTCCACCGCCAAGGCCGTCTCCATGAGCGCGGACCACCATCACGGCACTGCCCGCCCCGGCCCGGCCGCCGCTGCCGCAGTCCCGGGGGCGCAGTTACTGCACCACAGATCGGCCGGTGCCGACGAGCCATCAACACAGCCGCCCACGGGACACGGCGGGCGAGGGCGGGGGCGGAGGAGAGGTTACATCCGGCTGTACAGTGGATCTAGTAAGGATCTCCAGACGAAAGTAGATGGCGTTGAGCCTCAGTCGAGTCCATGTGAGATTCAAGGAGAGGTCACTACCGAGCTGAGCCCGTTGGGGAGGTGGGGAGGGGCGAGAAGGTGGGGAGGGGTGGCGAGGTCACGGCGCGGGTGACCTGTCAAACAGCCCCGGCGCGGTGGGGCACTGCCGCAGGCAAATGGCGCACTCCAGCGTTGTTCCATATCGCGGTGGTGGGCCGGGCGACCGGTTAGCTTGGCAGTTGGCTGCTTGGAAGGAAAGGATAATGAGGCATGGGTTTGCTGTGGCTGGTTTATCTACTATATGATGAACCCAAAGTAATGCAAATGTGATGTTGGTAATGCAGCTGGCAATGCAATGCTAGCGAATGCTCCGGGCGACCAGTAGCTATAAGGATTAATATTAATATTATTTATGTCTCCTGAAATTTTCATTGAATATAATTCAAGCAATAGAAAGATCGCATCGTTCGCCAGTTTTTTGACCGGCTGGCCTTCTTGCGTGGAGCACCCTTTGGCAAATAATTATCACGCAGGTGATTTTTTTACTGGTAAGATGGGCCTTTAAGGTCAAATCAAGTCGCTAAGAGAAGATGAAGAAAAGTAGACGAATGTCACATTTTTGTGCATGAAGTCTCGAGTTAAAAAAGCTCAAAGTTGTTACACGTGTAAGCTAAAAGCAATCAGATCAGTTAATGAAAATATTTGACCCGAAATTAGCCTCTGTTTTGTCTGACCATGATTGCGTGTAAGACACCGGTCCAACAGGGTTCAACCCGGCCCAACATAGTTCGGCAATCGGCTCTCCCTTTTTTAATATTAAATTTGGCCCGAACCTTTTGAATGAAAGGAATCACAAGGACAGAGTCCCCGCTAAGCTGAGCTTGTTGCGTTGTCCCTGCTCTCTACCCTCCGATCAAACTATTCCTGGTCTATGGCCAAATTTTAACGTGCGCACATAGCCGCGCACGGCCGGTCCCCTTACTGACTTCGCCTGGCAGCGGCCTGCCACCAACCACAACCATACCCGTCAGGAGGCTCAAAAATGTCAAACATACGTCGCGTTTCGAACCCGGACTTTTGCAACCGGGACGTGCGCTCTCACCACATGGCACATGTAGTCCAGCGCTCTACCAACCGAGCTACCGGGACGGACATTTGCCTTGCGGTTTCGCCTCGTGGCATTGACAGACGTCAGACACTTTGGCCGAACTCTAGACGAAACACTGAGCAAGCTGCGCAGGGCGATAGGTGCTCGTAGCGTTGAGGTTGGGATAACCTGTGAGTGAGTGTGAGCTGAATGCGATGTCGTGAGTTCGAGCCCCACTCTCGGGTCTGGTTTTATCTCGACACGAACCAAACCTTTCCTTCTACTGCAACACAGATAAGCACGATGACATCTTTCCCGAATATCTTTCCCAATATCCTCTCAAAAAGTCAAAATTATCGCTTATTATGAATGTTTAGCAAAGTTTCATTTTTAAGTAAATATTTTTAGACATTTTTCTGGAGCCATTTCAAATCTTTTTTCTTTTCTGATTCTTTTTGGCCCGATAAAACCCGCCAAAACTGATCGTGCCAAATGAAAAATATCTAACTCAAATAACAGTTTGGAACAGCCTCATCATGCATCATGAAAATCATCATGCAACTATCGACTGAATAGTTGCATGCTATGAATGCGTCCTAGATTTCAATTACCTATCATTGTTCAACATTTTGGCTGGAACTGACGCTGCCTCTGGCTTGCCCGTTTGTTTGAGATAATGATTTCCTTCAGTCGCATTCTTGCTGGTTCCACATGAACAGGATACCACCATACCGGAGTGAACGCACCCGAAACCATCATCCCCTCCCCTCAGCCACGGCGCAGTGGCGGGCGGCCCTGGGCGGCCCACTCCCGGCGCTACGCACGCCCCATGCGCCGTGATACCGCGTCACTCCCCCTCCCTCCTTCCCTCCCTCCCACAATGACCGGTGACCTCACTTCCCTCGGGATTTGGACTCGCCCTACCCCGACCGTAGCGCCACGTGGTGGCTCTGGAGATGTTAAATAGACCCACTGTACCGCCCAGGGTGTTAGGTCAGAGTGCGAGGTCACTCGGATCACGGTGTGAGAGACATGCCGGCCGCCGGATGCGGTGGCATGGTGCAGAGTGTAGTTGCAGCTTGTTGACAATGCAGAGAGATGGGTTGGATTATTTGTACGAGTACCCACTTCATGGACATTAGACAGTAAATAATGTAAGTCAGCAATGGCATGAAGTATGGAACACTGCATTAATGCAGACAAGTTGACTATTGAGTGCAAAAACAAGCTGCAACAAACACAACCGTCTGGCAGCTATTGGTCAATAAACCTCCCAAAAAGTCAATGACCCTCCCTTCGGGTCTCCTCTTGCAGACAGCTGGCCGCTGTTCCTGGTTTCTGTCACATTGTCATGAGCGAAGGAGGGGGCGGTGACCGGTACGGCCGTGTGCAGACGTCGAACACCGGTCACAGCACTCGCCGGCTCGTGCAGCAGCTCAGCTCCCGGGCCGTGAGGACGCTCCCATCCTCCCACACCGATAAAGCCTAGGGCCGGGCCGGTACTCAGCAATGCGGCCGCTTAGTGCCGTGAGTTCCATCCTCAGGCGTCCACTCAATGACCCCGACATGATCAGTCGGAGAGGCCAACGACCATGTTCCGATCCAATATGATCTTCCTTGCGGTATACTCCCTCCTCGGCCTCCTGCAAACTCTCACTTGCAACTCTGCAGACAGTCCACCGGCCGTCACCGCTACACTGTGCCGCCGCCGCCCTCCTTTATAACCAGCCGCCCTTTACTTGAGGCTCCTCTAATTGCCGTAGTAAGGGCACCGCACATTGCAAACAAACCCACTGGCAGAACCCCGCCGCAAACTGGACAATCCAGCCCCAGCGGGCGTTTGTTATAAGCTGTCAGCCACAATGGATACCGGATGTTGTCTTGCATAATAATCCCCCTGGACCCTACTATGTATGTATGTACTGGACCCTAGTATGTCCCGCCCGTCCCTTTCAGTCTTGTCACCCCTCCCTCGTCTAACGTCCGGGATCCACTGGTCGGTACGGGTAAATCCGTCCACCGTTCCCCGTTCCACTCTGCCCCGTCCCGTTTGATCCCAGTCTGTACCGTCCCATCCCTTGTCATTTTTGCCCCGTTCCGACCGTTCCGACATGTCGGTCCGTCGCGTCCGTTCCGTAACTTCCGTCCGATCCGTACGTTTCATCCTTTCAGTCCGTCCCGTAGCATCCCGTTCCGTCCGTTCCATACCTATCCGTCTCTTTCCTTCCATCCCAATCCCTCCCATTCCATACCACCCACACTCACGTTCCTGCGCCGTCCGGCCGTTGTCTGCACTGCACACCGTGCACCGCACTCTGCACTACCCGTGCACCACCCACACCGTCCGGCCTCTCTCTAACCACTGTGTGCTCCGACTGGCCTCTGCAGACCGGCCAGGTACCGCCGCCGCCGCCGCCGCTGCTGCTGCTGAGACGGCCGGCCGTGACTCAGGCGGCGGCCGAGCGGCGGGCTGACTCAGGCCGGGCCGGCCCCTCACGTGCGCCGTCGCGCTCCCACGCCGCGACCACGCACGATGACAGCGGGTGCGCCGGCCGTCATCGGAGGTCCGGTCGTGACTAGTGGCTCCTGGCCTCTCCCCTTGCTCCCCAACCCTTGTCAGCTACAGTGCTGGGATATCGAGCCGACAGTACACACACACAGCAGCCGTGACCACAGCCGCCGGAGCTGATCGGCCCGGGAGACTCCAATATCGAACAGATAACAACCACCAGCCGAGCCCGGGTGTTGACGGCTGATCGCTGACGGCACGACGGAGAGTCACGGGCGTATCATGAACACCGGAGCCCTGCGGTGCCCCCAATGACCCCGTCTGGCATGCTCCCACCGCCGGCAGCCACAGGGCACGACTGGATCCACGCTACTGTCGCAACTGGCGGCAATTAGGTGCACCTTTCTCGCTAGGCTAGGTGACCCTAGCGTGGAGCCGGCGACCTCAGGTGCTATTTGGACGGGGTGGGGCGGCTCGAGCTGTCTCATCAACAGAGGTAGAGTGGAATGCCGAAGCAGTAGCTTGTGGACTCAACGTCAATCATCTCCACACTCCAGAAAAAGCAACGCGCTCACTCCGCCACTGAGTAACAGGAACACATTGGGACGACTTGGTGGGATAGAGGCTCAAGTTTTCTCACCAGGGAACGCTGTTTTGAAGATGACAGGACAAACAGTCACTCCCATACTCACCGTTAATCGTCTCCACACTTCAGACACAGCCAACACCCTCGCTCTACCACTGACAGAAACACGGAACCCAGTGAGACGGTCCTTCAAAACCAGTCCCTGTCCACCGCACCACGCCACACCTCTCCTCCGCCGCACCGATCGCCCGTACACCTGCACCCGCTCCGTCACCGTCTCCACTGACCGGCCCCGCCGCGCGGCCCTGTTTCCGCGGAGTCTCTGCAGCAGCAGCGGCGCCGGACGGGGAGGGAGGGGACCGGCCGGCGCGGCGGCGCGACTCATCGCACGGGAACCTGTTCGGTGCGGCGGCCGGCCGGTCGGTCGCCCCCTCCCCTCCCCCGGCGGTGGCGCCGTCACGGTCACAGACCGGGGGGGGGGGTCTACAGGTGTGGGAGGGGTCAGCGGAGGGACAGGAGGAGGGAGAGACAGGGGGCTGGCAGGGCTCTGTATGGAGAGGGCAGGAAGATTGACTCCCCGAGCGGTGAACGGGTCTGTTCAGGGCGGAGAAAGGAAGGGATTTCCACGCGCCTAGGTAAAGAATGGCTGGATTTTACAGGTACTCTCAATCAGCTCATCTACACATGACGGAGAAAGGGCCTTCGAACTGTGTGGTACCGGTTCGGCGACGGTAGCAGAGGCAGACCGATTGGCGGTCCCAGGAGGCGTCTGTCCGTGGCTTTAGACGCTAAGCCTGGTTGAAGTGGGCAGTGGACACTGGGCAGTGGCTATAAAATGCCGGAGGTAGCTGCTACCAAAGGTCGGAGCAATGGCCATCAAAGGTCTCGGCAGTAGCTATCAAAGGTCGCACTGTCGGCAACACGGCTCATCACCCCGTGAACCTGTCAGACCATTTATTATTACCGTCTGCACTTGAAGCGTGCCGACCGTCACTATCCCGGAGAATGATAGCCACCTACAGGAGCGACAGCTCAGTGGCATTTCGTCAGGGTATTCTTGCAGACCTTTTTACCGTGTCGATTCGTTAGGCTATATCTGAGAACCTTTACTCCGCGTTGAGCTTCACCACATCAACATTACATCTATCGGTCTCCCGGGCGATGTGGACCTGAGCTGCAGCCGACCCCCAGAGGTCAGAGGGCCCCGGCGAGGCCACAGAGCGCACGGAGACGCCGCCCCTCGCCGCTCTGTATACCGGGAGTTCCATCTACAGCATCCGGCTCATTACCGGTAATTATGGCAATTACGCCGGGAACAATATACACTGATCCGGTCGCGGCTAATTTTATCAGTACGGCGACTCCTCCACACGATATCCCTCTGCTGTTCCTTGCTCTTCCTTTATTGTCTATCGTCCTCTTCTAGCTCTTCTTTTCCTCTCTCTCTCTCTCTCTCTCTCTCTCTCTCTCTCTCTCTCTCTCTCTCTCTCTCTCTCTCTCTCTCTCTCCCTCCCTCCCTCCCTCCCTCTCTCTCTCTCTCTCTCTCTCTCTCTCTCTCTCTCTCTCTCTCCCTCTATACCTCTCTACCAAATCAAGGCGGCCAAAAGTTGCAACTCTCGCAATACCAAGTTTCAATAATGCACACTGGGGACATCCACTAGGAGCAGTTCATACCACCCATGAGTCATGATTGAAACATTTCACACCACCAGAACGCCTCATACCGCCCAAAGGTCAGACAGTCGTGACATGTCCGGAGTCAGTTTCCCGAGTCCATCTGTCATGAAGGCCTCACTGAGTACCACTTCACCCGGCCGTATTATCGTTGCAGCTGGCGAGCGGATGACCCCTGACCTCTGACCCAGGCCGGCCCGCAGCTGACCTTTGGCGGAGCTGCCGACGCCCAGGGTGTTCACGGAATGGCGGCGGCCGGATACGGTGGTCGTGTGGTGACGGGTGGGTCAATTCCTGGGTCTGTCAGAGCCAGGCACCGCAGTATTGAGACTGCATGGATACAGCGGTCACCGCCCAGAGAGCTCTAACAAAGCCGAGCTCCCGCTGGTGCCAGGACCGACGCAACACGGCGGAATCGCCACGGAATGGCGGCCAGAACTGGCACACGTTGGGGCACAGGACCTAAGCAATAAGCATTAACGGCAGATACGCATAAGGCGACCAGCAGTTCAACACCTGTCTGGTAATAGTCCGTCAATTGTCGGCAAGAAGTTCATCCACTGAAATGCGTCCACTATTGGTCGGCTGTCGGTCAATCATCGTCAATGTCTGGTTAGCCGCCGATCGCAGGTTTGCATCACAGCACCTACGGCCACCAACTTTCCAATTTCGGAAAGTCACGGCCATTCAATGACGACAAAAACTCGGAAAACTCGGAGAAAGGCATCTGAGACACGTGGAAAGTCGGCCAGTGGCGCAGGCCAGCACGCCACCGAACTATACCGTCGCTCCCAAATGGGCGCTGACTCATCGGCTACAGCGTGTGAGCCGGAATTTCTGCAGGCCATACTGTGATACAGATCACTGACAAGGGTCTTCAAGCCATAGCGGTGTCAGCGAATCACAACTGAATATGAAGAACTACTGGCTATGCCTAATATGGCAGTCAGTCCTGCAGCGACTGACACCCCTGTTTACAAATGAAATGAGCGTCTGTCAGCCGTCCTTCACGTTGATAGTTTTCCTCTTCACATAGCCCGCATCGCTCACGATTGCGTGTATAGCGTGCACCATAACTGCACCGCCCAAATGCCTTCAGGCCGATCAGGCACAAACTCAATTCAGCCCACTACTCGTGGGGCGGCAGCACCCGTCACCGCGGTGAGCCCCCCACAGACGGCTGAAGGTGGACCGGCGTTGGACCGGCGAGCGGTGCCGGACGTCCCTGTTCGATATGCAGGGTCGGCGCCACTAACAGACGGCCTTGTCGCCGACAAACAGACCGACCGATCGGCCCGGCGCCGGCCGGTCAGTCACGCTACTGCCGGCCCGGCGCCGGCGGGTGATGTCACTGGATCGATGACGTCACTGGAACGACCAGCGCTGAGCGCAGACTGTCTCCAACCCGGACCGAGGACCGGAAGGCGCCGGCTGCGTGTTATCATCAGTCGACAGAGGGTGTCAGTGTCAGGAGCTCTAGCACACGTGCTGCCAACACGCGACTACCTTACAAGGAACTCACTCATTTAGGGAGCCGACAACGCATGGCGCCATAGCGAACATCAAAAAGACGAAAAATGGCATCACGCCTCATCGGCAGCCATATTAATTAGACCGAATTTTCCACAAAAAACATGAATGCATGATGTATGCTTTTATCTCTGACATAATGTATGTTGATGTTCATATCATATTACCGGTGGCGGATGCCCAACCAGGAAAATGCGGTCCTTAGCTCCACCAATCTACAAATACCAACCTGGCCGGCCGTTGGGCGGGTATTCCGACGTTCTACCTATCAGAGAAAAAAAACGTCTCGTCGACACATTTTCCAGCAACGTTTCTTGCGAACCAGCGAGCTGCTGTACTCATGGAAGAAACTACACGTTTGTGAAATGTCCTATGTCCGGGTGCGTATCCATGGTACACTCGAAGCCTGTATCGTAAAGCAGCACGGCGCACTTACCCCGGGTCCTTCTGCATGATGCTGGCCAGGCTGATGGCGTTCATCCACTCGGTCATCTTCTCCTTGGTGTCGCAGGCGAAGTAGTAGGTCCGCATGTTGGCGTGCTCGATACGGAACGAGAACTTGCGGTGCACCCTGTCCTCGGCCGAGACGGGACAGACGCGGTAGGAGGGCAGCGTAATAGAGCCCAGCAGCTTGTCCTCACGGGCGTCTGCGAAAACAGAGGCAGGCAGGCAAGCGGTCAGAACCATGCGGCGGTACAATGTAATTAGATCACACATGCAGCACATGACTGGCGTCGTGGATTGGAACACAGGTATGGACCCACAATCAGATCCAGGACCCGAAGTACAAATAAACGGTCGTTAGTGAAAGTCACAAATAGGATATGTGTAGAAGGCTACAAGCATGTCTTTCTGACGGGAATGCCGCCTGTGACAGCGGGCGCCCTTCATCAATCCTGAGGTCCTTTGGCTGCCCCGTGCTCCGTTATCCTGTGGTCCCGTGTGGTACCTGATCCCATGGCCCTCTGATCCCCGTGGCCCTCCCGTGGTCCTTGCACCGTGAGCCGACCCGACGCCCAGCTGACGGGGGCACGGGTCGGCAGAACCCACCGACTTGGCAAACAATGGACTGATCACCTGGCACCGAGAGGGGCACAGGTAGAGGGACCGTCGGGACAGAGAGAGGGGCGGAGAGAGGCGGGGTGGGCGGAGGACGCCCGCCGCGCCGGCCCGGGACGGACCACTGGCGCCGCCCAGCGGCAGTCGTCTGCACTACGCCTCCAGAGCCACAGAGTCACCGCCAGCGCCGCATCGCTGAAGTAGCAGCGTGATCGCCAGAGGGCAGAAGATGGCGAACGCCAACATGTGCAAAAAAAGAAACAGATGCTGGTGCGACCACTAATGTATCTGATTAGGCCTAGGGGATACGTGGGCTCTAAGCAGCCCACAGAGGGCCTTAAGGGAAGTCAGAAAGTGATAAGACGTCCTTCACGTATCGCGGCCTCACGACGCTATGGACCCCATAATGCGTAGGAGACGAGGAACAATGAACACCTCGACTGTTCGAGCCACTCTCCGAACAGCTGACATGAATGCTGATTAGTCCCGCTCATTGGTCTGATCACCAGTCACGTGAGTGGCTTCTGGAATTCCCGTCTCAGTGATGGTGGATTACAGTTCGATGTAATCGACTCCATTACCGGTGATAAGACGGGATGACAGCACCTGCGCACACACAAATCCTCCCGAATCTGTCGTGCATATTCAGACACACCGCCTTCAGGTTTCACGGATTTAAGTTTCACGGGCATTCAGTTTTCACGGACGGACTCCCTGTGTGTTTCAGGCATTGAACTCTCTTCAGTCGTTTGAAGGCGTGCGCCGATGTCCCGGTCAGCGTCGATCGCCGCGCCCGGCCGCGTGGGCAGACTGAATGGGAACCGGATCCGGCCACGCAGCTCGTATGGTAATGTCCGACAGAGGAGCGACATGTACGGCCACCTCTGATAGGTGTATTCTGTCTGCGTATACACGGCGCAGTGAGCAGACTTAATTTGCATACCGGTTACTGCTAGTCCGATACGGCCCGAACGGGCGGGATATGTGCACCGGCGATACTAGCAGCGAGCAAAGCAGTTCACGGAACGGAGTTAGCCAAAGTAGATGGTATATAAATATCACATGACCTAGGGCTTGGCTTTATAAGTGTTAGCACTACCATCTGTAGCCTTGATAAGTGTCTTCACACGGTGTAACACCCTGAGTTATCGGCTGTATTGCGCGGCAGCTCGTTCATAATGATCGCCCAGACCTCTTCAGGGTTTATAAATAGCTATCGGCGATCACCTTGCTGTCTGGACCCCGCATCGACCTCAGGCGACTGGCTAACACCGAGCGAGACAGGACACTCGATACCGACTAACGAGCGGTCGATGAAGCTCCGACAGAGGCGCACTGGAGCTACCCTCCATCCGCGGCTGGGAGACAATCAAATCACCGACTGATGCGTCCGCACTTCCCACAGACGAAACTTTGCAACCGAGTTGGAGAAATAAAGGAAAACATGCCAAACTTTCAAAGGGTTTCGATCAGTGGAAATAGTGTGTCGAAGAAGAGAAAATTGTCTGCTTTGATATTGTGCAGGTGCGGATGGCTTGTTCTTCCAGTTCCTGTTACTTGTCAGTAATTTCAACATCAACCTTCGCTATGCTGCTTTACTCAGAAATGTATGGGTGTTCGTTCGGTGACAGGCAATCCACTCGTAATAGCTGCATCCGCATGCAAGCACATTTATCACGGGACAAAACCACTGTGCCAAATTCTACGGCCGCCTTTTTTTTAGTGTCCGTGACCGATCTATCAGCCTACGTTGGGTCGTGGGTCGAACGAGTGCAACATGAAGGCGAGTCCATGCTGCCCTGATCAACAGTTATATTTCTCCACTTAGCGGAAAAAACACTGACTGAAAAGGGACCAGACGCCCAGACCGACAGTGGATGCTGCCATCAATGAGATCTTACACATTTTACCGTCTTTTTCGGCACAGTAATGCACACGTGGCGGCGAAATTTAAATGCGACAAATGTAGGCCATGGATCGACTCGGTGTTCGCTTTAGCCCGGACCAGTCTGACCTATTCCGTGATGCCATTTAATGATCATTCCGTGACCGATGACAATGTGTCCCAGATTGTGACCACAAATGTCATGCAAATATCGCCCGGAGAATAAATTCAGCCGAAATGGTATAGCGACTGACGTAATGTCGGCACGACGCTCGATACGACGCACTGTTACAATTACCAGAACTACGAAACCGTTGGATTTCCCCGCATTTCTTCTGTATGTTTAGCACGGAATGATTCACCGCAGTATGACAGCCCGTCCTATTGTCTCATTTTTCACAGTAACTGTAACAAGCATGACCACAACCTGCACATCATTGCACGCTGTACAAGTTAGTGCAGCAGTACCGACAGTGGGCAGTAGCCAGTCCACACTGTAGTAAAGTGATCTTGAGTCCACCAACCTTTATAATAGTAGAGGCAGTACTCTGAGAGGACAAACCAACGCGTCTTCCAGAGTCGCAGCCGCTCCGAGCCCTGTTTGTCCAGCCATCCCCGCAGTGTGACGGGCGCCTCGGGGGAGCGGCGGGCCTGCGGGCCGCGCAGGGTGCCCCGCTGAAACACAGGGGAGAGCGTCAGAGGGCAGCGGGCAGCGGGAAGCGGGGCAGACAGCTGTCAGCTGTCAGGTGTCAGCGGGCAGTGGGCAGCGGGAAAGGGACAGCGGTCAGCGAGCAGCAAACATGGGACAGCGGATATGAGTCACAACATTGGCAGATTCTATCTTTTAAGTAATTGGCAGAATTAATTTGAGCATGACTCCGGTCTTGGGATCTGTGTTACAATATCGATGTTCCCGTCTGATCTCTCTGTCCTTCCGGATACTCGCGTGAGTTGATGACAGAAACTTCAGTTGGTTCGTGAACAACATGATACCTTCCAGGACCAGAACAAGTGTTAATATCTAACGGCTGTCTAACGGGAGATGTCAGGTGTGTGATGCTCACTGGTCGCTAATCACGGCACATTCTCTCCGCTCCAAGCGTGGGAGGAGGAACGGCGACCGATGGCGGGCGGGCGCTAACTTTGTTCATCGGCACGGTGCCGGCGCGGCAGAACAGATCGGCTATTGATCCGTCCCTGTGGCACCTGCCGCCGCCTTCTCCAGAGGCGGGGATTCCGAGCACGCACGGTGGCGAGCGGAGGGTATCGTGGCTCAGGTGTAACCGCCGGCTCTAAACCACTTCATAATGCAAAGGTGGGCTCAGCGCGGCATGTGACCGACTGGTAGACAGACTCCTATGGGAACACTATTGTTAATATGCGGTTCAACGCCGGCATTCGTATGTTCAGGTGTTCCTATAAAGTTTTGTCAAAAAAAGGCTACTGTCTTTGAAAGCTCAGTGTACAAATTACGAGTTATTACATCTATGAGTCATTAGTCTATGAGAACTATGCGTACGAGTCATTACATAAGGATTGCTGTCTGGTGCATACACAAGTCCGACACTCGTCAAATACTGAATGGTATTTTAAACACGTAGCGGGATTAACGGCAATCAACGTCAGTTTTAAGACATATTCTTGAAAACACGTTTATCAGTTTGACAAGTTAAACCCCCATCAAATATAATTACGTCTTCAATAAAATCGAATCATGAAGTCATGTCGACATCGAAATCGGTGAAGCCATGTCAATCCTCAAAAATAATAAAAACGTACTCATCAATAAGTCCAAAAAGAGCAGCTCACGTTACCGAACTTTTACCGAATACCTACTGGCCCAATGAAAGGCAGAAAGCTTTGTAGCTGAGTGATAATTCGTTACAGAGGGAGCCCCTCCCATCAGGCAGCCTGGGCGGACGCGCCGCGGAATGCGCCGATTGTTTGTTCGTCGGGGTTTCGGTACTAACCTTCTTGGCCTCCATAGTGCCAGCCGTTATCTTTGCGGGATCATGCGGCGCTCTGAAACAGACGGAGACAAAGATCAGATCAAAGATACGATCGGCGGGCAGCTCCTAATTACTGTCATGTCAACACAAACACTCGGGGACCCGCCTATCTGATGCACACTGTCTGCCGGCGGCACGGGGTCTCACTATTTGTTTTCGCCGAGACTGGAGCTGGTTACGACGTCAGGCGGCTTTCTTTTCAGATCTTTTCGCGTCCGCGTGCCACTGGGCCCGCACCGCCTTTGAAGTGAACAGGATTTCCTCAGTGGGCTATGAAGGCCGCGAGCCTGCATAGTGTCCCAGGTAAGGACAAAGCAGCGTTTGTTCGAATCACCAGCCAGCTCTATTATTCATTGTTGGGTTTTGTGATGAATCAATAAAGAGGATGGAAACTTTTGGCATGGGCAGGGGTCGTTCATCTAATGAAACTATTTAGAGCAGCACGCAAACCACAAAAGCGGTTTCACATAAATGGCAGAAGTTTTTGACGGCTATGTCACAGACAGAAAGAAATATGCGCCATTGTCACAAAGTTTGGGAGGTCAATGTGACCTTATCGTCAGAGGACACGTGGGTCCTACAATGGTGGCCTATAGGTGTCCTTCCCGTCCTTCCCGAGTGTCCTTCAGTGACTGCATGATGCCCCGCTCACCGCTACCCCTTGTGCTGCCTGTAACCGCGTTGATCTCCCTGCGAACGTGTTGTCATGTTGTGACCGCGCCTTTACGAGAGGATTTCCCAGTGACTGCGCTGCCCTCCGTGTGACCGTGTTGTCCTCCTCTGACCGTAATATCATGCCCGTACCCGCGGTATTTGCGTTCGTTCCGGTCTGACCGGCGCCGCGGGCGGGTCGGCCTGTCCGGCTGACCAATAAACCCCGGCTGGAATGCGGGCGCACCTAGCCGCGATGACGCGGCATGGCAGAGGGGCCGCCCGGTGTCACCTCTGCCGGCCGGGTCGGGGTCACGGTCGGCAACATTGGGACTGAGGCGGGCCGCCGAGCCTGCCAGGGCCAGGGCCACCCGGGCTGCCGCTGATGCTGGGGAAGCCAGAGATGCCAAAGAACAGAGGGCCGGGCTGCTCTTCAGGCTGCCAAAGCTTCTGTTGAGGCAGCCATGGGATGCCATCGATCACGACAAGGCCCAGTCACGGGGCGGGTCCGGTTCGTGAGTTGTTGACCGTGAGGTGAGGTCAGATCGACTGCAGATTTCGGCCGGGGTCAGCCCGCCGCGCCGGTATGGCAGGTATGCGGCCTATGTATCCAGTCACAGGGTTCGGGCCGGGCCGGGGCAGACTCCACCACCGTGCACAGTGACCACCGCGTGCACAGGGTGATTGCCGCCGCGTGCACAGACACCGGGCGGCGGAGGACGCCATCTGGTCCGGAGCACGCCACCCGCCCGTTTGATTTATTCCCATCCGTACACCGTAAATCTCCACAGTGACGGGAAGGCTGCTCAGGAGAACGGTAATCGCTCTGTTCATTTGCTGCGTCTTGCACACCGGTCACGCACTATCACGAGCACGTTCACAGGATAATTTGTGCGTAAATCACGGCGGACAGCTGTGTAGACGTGAGTCAGGAAACGTTTACAGCAGTAGGGAGGCTGCTCCCGAACTGTAGGGGTCTGACGCACCAGCAGAGAGGTAACGTCTGTTATACATGCAGTATGAGTATGCGCTATGTCATGTGTGTCGTGTAGCATGCTGAGCAGCCCCTCTGGTTACACACGCACAACGGTGTGTCCCGCAATAAGTCATTCACCCGTCTGGCACATACAGTCATGTGCCGTGTACCAAGCCATGAAGGTAATACACCTACGAGTACAGCTATGTGTCGTGTACCACGCCGAGTACCTGTCTGTGAGTACCTCGCGTGCTCAGACAATCGGCGCCGGCCCGTCGCCCGGTTCACCCGGCCTCTGATTAACGTGAGAGAGTTCCCACCTGTAGCGTCGGCAGGTGACGGTTTAACGCACCATTCCGCGGTAAATCACCGATTGTTCGAGAGTCGAACGGCTCGGAGAGGAGCCTGGGCATACGGAGAAGGCGACTGCATGGCGCCTCGGTCAGGCCGAGACCCAGCTCAGACTATCCAGAATGGCAATGGAGGCAACGACCACTTTGCAAATACCAACCTATCGTAGGTATGCATTATGTAAAATGTCCGTTGTTGATTTTTTTCTGATGCGCGTATTTTGCATTGTTCCTCACACAATACTGCGGTAGAGCCGATTTCATTTTTAAGTGGCTCAGATTACTGGTTCAGCAGAAAGCAATACAAACATGCCACCGAACATTTCCTTATAACCTGGAGGTCTAGGTAAAATCTAGCGGCGGCTGCAGCTTAGCGAGCACGCACTGTATATAGACACAGTTTACGGCAGTGATGTGGGTCCAGTGGCAGCTTAACTGAGATAGATTATAATCTCACCACACCGCATACCTACTGCAGTGTGCCGCTCTTTGGGTAGAGTTCAATGACATGAACAAGAAAAGTTTCCCGAGCAATGCTCGGCATCGAAGCTCCATCGCAGTGATTGCCGTGGGCGGTCGAAATAAACATCCTCTACACAAGACGACAGCTTCATTATCAGACCTGAGCACTTCCTTACATCGAATGTAATGCCTTGCCACAGATAGCCAGCACAGTGCTCTGAATTATTTAGACAGCCAATTAGCCTGGAATCGGCTCCAATATTTTCTTCCATGGCCATTGGCCACTGACAGCATGCTGACCAGGGGGCCTCAAATTAGACACAACGATGCCGGGGCGGACAGTGGGGAACCCAGCCGCGATCGGAACGAGACCGGAAAGGTTCGGGCACGATCATCAGGATCAGAACGGGACCATATGAGATCAGACTGGATCAAAGCGGGACCAGGATCAGCAGGATCGGAATGGGACTGAATGGGACAAGACAGGGTCAGCAGGGATAAGACGTGGACCATGCGGGATCAAAGCAGGATCAGCAGCATCACACCGGGATCAGCTTGGATCAGAACGGTATCGTCAGCCGGTATCGTCGCCTCCCGACAGCCGATGGCCGCCGCCCGGTGAGCCGAGGAATGTTCATTACGGCCGGATCGCAGCAGGTCCCGGAGAACGGGACGGGCGCATACCGACCGAGGCACGCCAATAGAGCAGATGCAGGTCGGAGTGCGAGTCGAATGGTGATCGATGTGCTGTGGGTAAATGCTGGGGACAAACGCACAGGAGGGGAAGTGAGGACTCAGGACAGAAAGGAACGATGGGTGGGACGAGAGCGGAATCAAGTCGGCACCCATAGGGGTCAACTAACGTCAGAGATTATTCAGTTCCAGTTCACCACGGGCACGTGCCGCTGCGCCCTGCCCCAGATTCCTCCGCGGGTCGTATGACTAGTAGGAAGCGTCTCCAGCACCCCGGATCCTTCAGGGAGACCCCTTACCGTGCCGCGGCCACCCGGAACCTCCTCAGATCCTGCCACGCGTGACCTCCCCGCCCCACATCCCACCGTCAGGCCGGCAGTGTTGTCAAGGAGCAGGTAAGTGCCCTCGGCGGTCGGGTCTGGGGTGTCCGAATCCCATAGGTCGCCGCCGGTCACGGTTTAACGCCGGCGATCCGGCGAGAGGCGGCTGACCGCCCAGGGACCACCCAGGCCG